ATCGTTCGATAACGATATATCGTTCCACTAAAAAAATTGACCACTCATCCGATTGCCGGCCTTTGCAATCGTCGCTTAACCTCCTCAATCGCTGATCAAATGCACTATCTGGCACCATCAGGCTTTTCACTTGTTTATATACGGATATTGCCGTATATTTTTCTAAAATTTAATATATTTTGATGATATGGTAAGTTTGCGCAACTGAATCGTTTTACCGCCTTCATACAATTGAAGCGATACCACAGACCATGAGATTTGTGACCGATATTGACAGATTGTACAATCTCATGAGCAAACACTTGCGTTTTTCCATACATTTTATAAGCGCATGCGATTCGTGCGATATCGCTCATCGATATCGAATAACATCGCATCTAGCCATGAGAAAAGAACCTTAGGTTACTTTCCATTCGCATAAAGTCGCGGGCACAACTAGTTTAATATAACTCTAATTTACTACTTTTCAGCACTAATGATATGGTGATAATGCGACTGTTTCAGAATGGATCATGCCAAGAAAAACAAATATATTTCCTATGGATGACGAAAATATTCCGAAATCGTTGACGAAGAATATGGCACGAATATTTTTTGATTAATATTTATATTTTTATAGATATATTATCATAGATATTTATATTATATAGCCTATGATTTGGCTAAACTTGTTTCTTTTAATTTTTAGTTCGATCTTAGCAGTCGTGTTTTTGATTTTTAAATTATTTATTTCTATTTTATTACTTTTAGTGAATATTTAATTATATATAGAGATTGTATATTTTTTAATATACTTCAAAACCTTTGATTTGATACCTATATTCCTATAATAATAAAAAATATACTTTTTTAAATGCCATCATACATTGCAATGATACCCTATGTAGTTTGTGGTCACTAGGGATGATGTAACGTTTGTAATGATACCCATACATTCATATCCGTTATATCTTTCAAAAGTTATGGTGAAATAAAAATTTACATACATATATTAACTCTAAACACAATAGACTCCTTTTCTCGGGCAGTCGTGTTAAAATGTTCGGATCTCGATAACGAATCACACTATAGAAATATTAAAACGATGCGCAAAAATTGGGGAAAAGTATCAAAATAGCTTGGTCGTAGTTTCAACAGAGTATTGTGGACCTTGAACAAGTTGTCGAGAACCGGAACGCTTCAAAATACCTAATTTCCCAGAGTGCCAATTTGTAATAGGGCTCTTAAGTGCGGCCATAAACGTATTTCTATATAAACAACTAGCTTTCCGCCAGCGGCTTCGCCCGCGTGGTCCACTGGTACCTTACTCATAGATCTAAACTCCCCTCCCGCACGCGCACCCCCACCTTGGTGACGCTCACTTCGCAACGGGCCGTGCAGCAGAAATCGTAATACATATTTTAATTTCGCCATAACTTCGAAACCAAACGTTCAATTTAATAATTCAAAGACCAAATAGTATCAACATAAACTGTACTTAGTGATGAAATAATTTAATTTAAAAAATGCGTTTAAATGTAGTCCAGAAAAAAAATTCAAGTTTTTTAAATAAAAAAATGGTTGCTGTGTCTCACTCGACATAGATAGTTATAGTGTGTCGCGGACTTTATTGTAGATATTTAAAAGATCTACAATTAATTAGAACATGTTATGATTCTATCTTTTATAGTTTAGTAAGCGTACGCAAAAAAGTAACTTTTCTGGTTGATTTTTACTTCTTGTGTCCGAAAAACCCAAATATCTTACGGAACCCTATTTTTTTCCAAAATAAAATATAGCCTATGTTACTCGTGGATAATGTAACTTTCGAATGGTGAAAGAATTTTTAAAATCGGTCCAGTAGTTTTTGAGCCCATTCATCACAATTAAACAAATAAACAAACAAATTTTTCTTCTTTATAATATTAGTTTATGTAGATTAGTGTAGATAAATAAATAATCATAGCAATTAAATATCAATAAAATATACGAGGGTTCTTTATTGTTTTTTTCGAATATCTCAAAAATGCAGTCGAATTTTGATAAACTCTTGGTGATAGTGAAAAGTTAAATAAAAACTTGTCTAGCTGAAAGTAAATGTGGGTTGACGCAAGTTGGTATGAATCCCCATACAAGAAAATGCATTCTCCTATAACTATAATAACATTCTAAATAATATAATGTTTTTATTAATATTTCAGTAATAGCTTAGTATATTTATAGTTTACTAATGAATAGTACAAAATAACACAAACAGCCAATTTGTTGTCTATCAAACAACTTCAATATGAATGCGAATGCGTTATATGCAGTCCGATTTCTTTTCAAATATTGGAAAAACAAAAAGCACATACATACATGACTAAGATAGGGTTATTTAAAAAGACAGTATAATAGACTCTCAAGTAATTATTTAATTTGTTGACTCTGGTTCATCTTGTTACGAATAAATAGTTTCATTAAATCCGGTTTTTACATTGACCTCAAAATCGATTATTTCTATTATAAATGAATTATATGATATCTATTTTTTATAGATTTTTTATCACCACGTCACTAAAAGCTTCAAATTCCAAATGTCACTGGACCATAGCACTGGACCAATGCAATATGTTTTGTTTCGCGCGAATTAGATGATGAGATTATTGGATACTCGTAACTTCAATTGACTTGATTCATCCGAATTCAGGTTTGGAATCAAGAACAAAAAGCGGAGCGCTGGATTCAGCTTGTTTTTTTATGTGCTTGTTTTATTATGCATCCACACGTCAAATTATATTAATATAAACATCAAAATTAATTTAAATAGCACTTGAGAAAGTCGAAAACTTTGCCAACTGTTACTAAGGCGGGCGATCTTGTACTGAGAAGAACCGGCAGGAAACTCAGCAAGGGTTGTTTTATTTCACATAGAGAAGTCTTATTGGAATGTTACTTAATTAGACTATGAAGTCAGTTTCCATTATAATATCAGAAATCCTACATACTCATTGACAAATCAATATGCAATATTTATAACAAAAGAAAATGGACAAAATTAAGTAATTCAGTGCAGACTCATCCTCACTGGCACCCGTTGACGAGTTTGATACATGAATTTGCTATCGCTTTGCTCATCTATATTTAAGGAAACGTAACGACCCGACGCACACGATACCACCGCAGAGATTTTTAAGAGAGCATGACTTCTATTAGTAATATATTTAAATAAAACTGATTTCTAGAGTAAGTTGAGTAGGAAATCAATTGTAAGAACTAAAAAAGCACATACCCACCGTACATGCAAGTTCAGTAGCGATAGTATAATAACTGACCGTGTCTTTGTAATTTTGAATGTTTAAGTTTAAACCTTGCTGTTCGTTTCGAACGGACGTTTCTTGTCGATTGCTGAATTTTTATTAAGTTGATTTAATTATGAATATAAGATTTAATAACTGATTATAGTTTTTTTTAAATTCTTAATTTCGAAAAGAAACTTATTTTTTCACGTTATACTTTGCATGTTATTTTGTACGAATACCTGGTATATTTGATATATATCGGGTAAGTATATAGATATTAAACAGATTTTTTATTATAATTATCGTTTTTATGGCCTTCGTTGTTGATGAATGAACCGTATTCATTAATTCACCACATATAATATAAAAATAGTATTGAGACTTGATTTAGTTTTTTTTATAAGTTCAACAAATAACTAATAGCAATAAAACTAACTTACCTAGTTGTTATTGTTTTCAGAAATTTTGTTAAATATTATAATGTAAAATTCGTAAACCTACTATGGCATAAGTATTTTATTTCTAAAGACAAGTTCACGGTAAAAGCTAAATGCCACTTTTAATAATTTCACAGCATTCATTCCATTGATTTCCATAACCTTCTCTATGCTCACTTCCATTTTCCTTTATACAAATAAAAAAGAAATTTATTCAAGGATTAGTTCGTATTAATCGAGTTATGTTTGCGTAACTTGAACTAACTGAATTTCAATTCGATATTAATCCAAGTTATCAGATCCATAGCAACACTGACAATTCAATTCTCTTTGGTTTAACGTCATGAATTGACACTTAGATGGTACATTTTATGCTGCCATCTAATGAAATATTTTTTTGTAGTTTCTTTATTTTTTTAATATTTCCTCATTGAACTGATGCAGGCGAAATAGCATTATTAAAATATTTTTAGGATTCAAAATCTTAGCGTATTGGAGTTAAGGTTGCTTCCATATGTTCTTTTTGAAAAAATTTTAATAGACTTCATTTTGTGAAGAATACGAAGCATACGAAAACAGCATGCTAGTTAATCGCACGCCTGTTTATTTTTCCGTGCTAAATTAGTAAGTGTGAACGTGACATGCTGCTTGATTTGTTTTGCTAATGAAGAAGTATTTAATAAAATCGAAAGCCCTAAAATAGCACCTCCACTAGATGGCGACTCTAGCAAAAATTGATTTTTGCAGGAAACGAATGGAACAAAGACAGTCATTTCCGTTCCTACTAACTTATATATTAAAAAACTGAAATCTGAAATGTTCGAAACTTAGATATCAATATAAATACGAAAAAGAACAAATAGATTATGAGTTGTTTATTTAATTTTGAAAACTAATTTACTTTTAAATTTGAAAGTTAACCGGAAAAGTTTTCATGGAGAAATCAAAAACTTACCGTAGCGACATCTAGTTTGATTTCGGGAACTATTTTTTTTTAATACTTCCTCATTTATTGTTTGCGATTGTGTTCACGACGATTTGAGATTACCAAACACAGATTGATTCACACATATATAATTTCAAAATATATATAGTTTCATACAATATGTAATTTCAGAAAATGATATTGAATATCGATATAGTTTCGAATCGATATTGTGAAAACGTGATCTCACCACATCTACTGAAGAATAGAGTGTAGAATGGAGTGACCGTAGTATATCCTTTTCTTATTGTTGCTTATATATTGTTCTGTGGCTTATAGTCTTCGAGTTGGTCTGTGGGAGTGACGTTTGATTATTTTGATGATAATACTTTGCTAACCTTTTATTAATGTTAATAAACTTATCTTTGGTTATTTACTTTTTTATCGACACAACTCTATCAAAATTACATTTATATTATAAGGCTTGCTTATGAGTAAAGACAAAACAGTATCAATGAAAATGGTCGCTACTAAAAACAAAAATAAAGGTAAACAGCTGTTTGTAGCAACATGAATTTGGAGGCTGTTCCCTTAGCTGATTATAATCTAATCTTATTTATTTATGTAAACAGTATTTAGACATTCTATTGAGTTTAATAGTAATATTATAGTTATCATGTTTGCAGTGAAAACTTGTTCTACGCCGGAACATCAAGCCGACTCGCCATCAAGAGACAGTGATTCATTGTGCGGTTCAGAAGCAGCCAGTCCAGTACCATTTCTTTGTACACAAGATGGAGTGGAGGGCGATACGGATGTTGTTTGGAACTACTACACACCCAAAGCAGATAACAAAACACAGCCACAGTCTAAAAATTCAACGCCGCTTAGTAGAAAATCTAAAAAGTATTTCAGGGCAAAAATAATAGAAAGACAGGTTCCCAAACGTAGAACACTCAGAGTTTCACATAAAAAAACAGAGCTTTTTCAAGAACTCATAGAGCTGAATCAGAAATTACCTGAATTATTAGCAAGAAAAACACAGAATACTCCAGAAATTGGTATGTCTGGTAGTGAGGAGGATATTTTTAATGAGTCACCAGAATATTCTCCTAAAAGTGGTTTGAGAAGTTCATCAAGGTGTTTACGTAAGAATGTGTTAAGTTCCAAATTTACAAAACCTGACACGGACACAGCTCTTGAATCTGATGACTCTATGAATGAATGTTTGTTGAAAGCAAGTCAGATAGTTGAAGAGAAATTTGTTAATTCTATACCTACCTCACCAAAAAGAGCATGTCATGAATCATATAAGACTAGCAAAAATAATATGAAATCTAATATTGATCTGAAAATGGATCAAGACTCTATGGACGCAATTTTGAATAGTATAAAATTAGACTCACCAATTGTTACTCTTTCTAAGAGATATGAATCACCAAAAATGTGTAATGATTCATTTGATAGCTTTGTTGGTAATTTGAATGACAGTGCTTTAGAACAACTAACACAAATGCCAATAAGAAGTAAAATGTCTGAAAAGAAACATAAAACAAACTTCAACAGTACATCAGATTGGACATTGAAAGAAATGGTGGTCCACGATAGTCCTTTCTCTAAAATGTTGTTGACTCGACATAGCTCTATGCCAGTGTCTCCTATTGTTGATAATAAGCCTTCCTCTAGTGGTATGTCTTTTGGTAGATATAATTCTATGCCATATGACAAGAATGCTGATAATGCAGGTTGGTACTATAAGAATTAACTACACATTAACCAATGTAATGATAATTGCTAATTTAAGGTCCATTTCTACTCACAATCAGTGTCAGACAAAATTTTCTTCTATACCATTATCTATTAATGTATTTATATCTATAGTAACACACCTGCACAAAGACTAACAGATACTGACTGTGCTTGGCTACTACAATACAGGGGTATTAAAATTGTAAGACAATAAAAATGCCTTTATGATTTAAGTAATTAAAATACAGTGACAATTAGAAACAAAAAATCTTATGAAAGTAGTCCCAGACATCAAAGCCTGTCTCTGTCAATGTCTGCATTAGCATGTGTCTGGCATGTTCAGTGTCAGTAGATATGAACAGACCTAATACTAATGTGAACCAATTCAACTAAATTAATAAACATTACACACATACTCAACAATAATTAACACTTAATAATCTTATTTTTGTGATAAATAGATTGCTGTCCATTTTTATTAAAAATACAGGGTGGGGTAATGTGACCTTCAATTAAAGTGACTTGTTGTTTGGAAATTTCAGTAAATGGAGATTCTCCTATAAGATGTACACCAGATGAAATCAAGAAGAAACATCAACAGGCTAGGGAGAAATTGTTGGCAAAAAGGCAGCTTCCCTTCACATCATCACAACAGTCCGCGCAATCCTTGCCAGAGCTAGTTCAACAAAACAAACACTCTAAATTTCAACCAAAAATACCTAGTTCTATTGCTCAAAAAAGTGTGCCAGTTAGTAGCATTCCATACAATAATACAAAAGAAAGCAGTACTGATATTAAGCTAATAATAGAGAAAAAAAGACAGGAAGCCCTTATGAAATTACGACGCCGACAGCCAAAATAAAGGAGACAATTTTTTTTCTTTACACAATGGGCCCACTACAAATCCTGGCATTTACTATCAAAACGCACCTCTATTTATTCGTTATATTCAATAGATTACAGTGGTAATATTTATTTTTTATTATCTAACAGCAACACTGAGTTTTTTACAACAATATAAACAAACATTTCTTTAAAAGCAAACTATAAGATTTGTTTAAGATAACATTGTTTAGAGCAAAACGACAGGTGTTTTGACAGTTTATCATACATTTTTTATGTTATTTTGAGTTCCTGGTTAAAGTGTAGTTTTTTTGCTAGTTTTCTTTTGGTACAATTGCGATCAGTTAACACTCCCGGAATCTAGTGGGCCTAAAAAAAATTGTTGTCTTCTCTAAGTATACGATATTACATTTGCATGGAAAAAATCAGCTCATTTTGTATGTTTTGTTAAGGTTTTCAAAGAAAATAATTTTACATTTAAAACTCAATTCACTATAAAAATTGTTGCCTTAACACTATCAATAATGCACTTTTATGTCTTTTGAAAAGCAGCTAACTCTTGAATGCAACAGCACGTCAAGCTACTACTAATTACTAAAATTTCTAATTATAAACTTTAATTCAATGATGATAGAGTTCAAAATCAAATGTTGTGACTCTTACACTTATGGAGAAATTTTACTGTATTTGATTGTTTTGTGTTTTTAATTTAAGAGTTATATGTAATCTGGTGTGGTTTTACTACATGCAAGTGTATATGTATTTGTATATTATGTGGAAGCTAAACAGATGTATTATAATTTGTCTTGTGATAATATTAAAATAATAATAGAACTTTAACCAATTCAAGTGCCTGTATTATATCTACTATGCTGATTTATTTGATTTGAAATAGTATTTGTATGTACAAAAATATACGTGAAATCTAAATACACAACGTTTACACTGTTACTCCATTAGAAAAGTTGGAACAACGCTCACCGAGGAATCGTCTATTAATCACGTGAAGCTCGAAAAGGGGGGGGGGGGGTCATCACCGACCTCCGATGAATGAGTGCTATAGGGTCAAACTGAAATTTATCTCCGAAGTCCGAGAGTTCCGAGAACGAAACGTTTATATTCCTATCAATGACAAAATTTTTTTGCACTTTAATATTGAAATACTTTCTCATGGTATTACTTTTAAACTTGAAAGAAAACCGGAAAGGTTTTCATGGAGAAATCAAGAACGTACCGTAACGACATCTAGTTTCGGGAACTAGTGTTTCTTTTTTAAATACTTATTAATTTCCCATTACGTCGATGTAGCTAAAATACTCCCTACTGCCCAAAAATAGTTCGCACTTTCTTCGAGTTCAGTTCATAAGTGAGTTGTGATTTGCAAGATAAACAGCCTATAACGCAATTAAGTAAATAAACTTATTAAAATTGGAATATTGATGCGTGCATCTCAATTTATATATAGTTGCATACTTTTTGTCCGGAACAATATTATTGTGTAAACCAAGCATAGTGATGTACAAAAACTTAACACTAGAAATAAAAACAAGCTAGTAATGCCTTATTACAGGATTACAGAAGGTATTAGGTTCTTTCATGGGTCAAGGTATACAGTACTTTAACAAGATCCCCAGTGATGTATTAGATTTGCCAATAAATCATTTAAAAAGTCGTATTAAAAGTTATCTACAAAGTAAAGGATATTATACCGTTAAAAAATATCTAAATGGCAAAAAGGCATGGTGTTAGATATTTTAACTTTATGTGATTAATATTGTACCTATATATTATGTGCCGTATCATGCAGCTACTGTTAGATGTATTAGATTTAGCTTCCTTAATTCACTGTATAAGTACCTAGAGTAGTCACGCTCTTTTAAAAATCTCTGCGGTGGTGTCGTGTGTGTCGGGTCGTTACCTTCCCTAAAATATGGTTGAGCGAAGCGATGGCTGGCCCATGCGTCATGCTCGTGAACGGGTGCTGCTTGTGGGGATGAGTCTGCTCTGGACTACTTCATCATCATCATCAGCCCTTTAACGTCCCCACTGCAGGACTCAGGCCTTCCTTAAGGATGGTTAAGGAGGATGGGCCATGACCCTATATGCTGGCCCAAATTAACGACTGCAAACGCAGCTGGGACCAACTGCTTAACGTGCCTTCCAAGGCACAGACTAGCTCGAGATAACAATTTTTTGGTCACCTATCCTGTGACCGGTCCTTGCGAAAGTTACTAAGCAACAACGATCGCAGGCCGCGGCGATTATTCACTACGACACCGAGCTACTTAACTTAAGCCCACAATTTCTTTTATAATGAATATTGTAATATTGATTTGTTAATGATATTTTAGCAGCGTTATGATTGAAGGTTGGTCCTTACTGTGGTGATGGAGACAACTGGCCAGGGAGACTAAAGGATAATTGTCTCCCTCCGAGCTAGGTGTTGTTAGCCCGGGGACCGCGGTCCGACCGATGTAGGTTGGACGTTCTATTTATGCTAATAAGTAATGAAACTTATTCTGTGCGATGTAGGTTTCTTTGTTCTTAATGCCTTGTAGTTATTAATTTATGCTGCTTGTATTGGTACAGCGCCATCTCGTTACTTTCTGTTGAAACTTATTGCAGTTCGTCTTGCTATCGATGGCTGTGACGATGCTAGACTTTTCGCTATCGATTGTTGTGGCGATGTTAGTGCGATGAGTTAGATGTCGCTATGTATCCGTCGCCACAATATGTTTGAATCGGCAATCGGCATATTAATCACTTATCGAAAATATCTCTCTTATTTCTAATATTGTAATGGAATGTGACTTCATATTCCAATGAAGTCACATTCCAATAAGACTTCTCTGTGTGAAATAAAACAGGGAGAAAAAAGCAGCCCTTGCTGAGTTTCTTGCACAGTTCTTCTCAGTACAAGGTCTCCGGCCGTAGTTTTGCGAAACGATGGCGTAGTTTTCGACTTTCACAAGTACTTTGTAAAAGCCTAAACTGAATAAACAATTTTCATGTTTTGATTTTGTTTATTAATTATTTAGATAATACTAATCGATATTGAAGATTTGCACAAAATCGACTTTTAGACATCCCTAATGTCATATTTGACAAAAATCTGTAGTGAGCGACTAAATGGACTGAATGTAGTAAAAGAGTTTTTAATGATATTTTAGCACCGTTTTGTTTTATGCTAAACCATATTTGTGTTGATTATACATAGATATATTTATTTTTCTTTTCGAAAAAATGACAATGAAACGTATTCGAGAAATAACAAAAATAATATGTAGGGTTGGCAGTGTTAAATCAAATTCACAAATAAGAAACATTCACACAACGCAAACTCTGTGCCTTGGAATGATACCAATAGTTGTCGAACAGACTGGAAGAGGAGAACGTGCGTACGATATTTACTCAAGATTGCTACGGGAACGAATTATATGCCTCATGGGTCCTATAAACGACGAGATCAGTTCTTTGGTTGTAGCTCAATTACTGTTCCTCCAGTCAGAGTCGAGTAAAAAACCTGTACATTTGTACATAAATTCACCGGGTGGTAATGTTACTTCGGGTCTCGGTATTTACGATACCATGCAGTATATCACACCTCCAGTTGCAACATGGTGTGTCGGTCAAGCATGTAGTATGGCATCATTGTTGTTAGCTGCGGGTGCACCTGGAATGAGGCATGCCCTTCCCAATTCGCGTATAATGATTCACCAACCTTCTGGTGGAGTTAGAGGGCAAGCTACTGATATACAAATTCAAGCAGAAGAGATATTGAAGCTCAAAGCACAAATTAATAATTTGTTTGTGCGACATACTGGCCTCCCTGCTGAAAAAGTTCAGAGTTCCATGGAGCGTGATAATTTCATGTCACCAACAGAAGCAAAGACGTTTGGTCTAATTGATAATGTATTAGAACACCCTCCATCACATGCCATGGAAAAGGAATGCGCAGCTGCAAGTGGGACTGGGAATACAGGGGGGAATATGTCATAATCATTTATTATGTGTTTAAAAATAAATTTAGACTGTTTTTCAAATGTTTTAATAATGCATACTCCTTTGTAACAAAAGTGAAATTTTCTAGATGATTATGTACAAACTAACTCTTTGGAATTTTGTTAAGTAGTAGGTAGTAACATTTGTGTAAACCGTCAGTGCTGGCTATTGAATAATTATGAATTTGAACAAATATATTAGTCTAATTTCTAATTATGTACCAACCAAATTAATTCTCAAAAACTATAAAGAAAAGTCAGCACAGTAACAATATAAGTGAAGTGATAAAAGTTGACCTGTGAAGTAACATTTAAAGTAAAACTAAATAATTGAACATGTAGTAATAGAAATAACTTGAGTTTTGATAACTGGCTTATTAATAGATTAATTATTTTTTTAACCCTTAAGTGATTCTTGTATAATATTCTGAATCTTGTAAACTGCTTCAGTGATTAATTTAGTAGGTAGGTATGCAAGGTGTTTTGGGGGTGACTAATGAATCTAGCTAAGTTTCATTTATAAGACACAGCTTTGTGTTATTTTAGTACAGGTATATCTTTAATTTTGAAAGAAAATACAAAGATGGATGTGATGTATTTGGATTTGTGCTTCCTGCACAAAACATGCCAGGTGTAATATCACCCATCTTTAAGCACATCTTACTTTATTTCAACCGCTGCTCTGTGTATTTTAAGTGTGATGGGTTTTAATAATTCTTTTTGTTTTTAAGCTAATAATGGTCTCCACATTACAGAACCGTAATGAAATAGTAAGAGATACAGAAATGGCTTAATTATAAAATATGATAAGCATATTTTGCTACGTGTTTAAAAATTTTAAGATTTGCAGTGGACTCTTAAATTATACCATATACAGAAAAGATGTCGATGTCAACGAAGTGTTCTAAGTAATAAGCATTTTCTGTTGACTTAAAAAATCGAAGATCTGAAATATGTGTTGGGGAGTTCTAACAGACTACTGACACTATATTATACTTATAAGACTGAGGTTTTATAAATCGATAACGTTGTTTTCTGTAGCAATTAAAATTCGAAGATTTGAAACATCTGATGTAAATTTAAAGAAACATGGTTAGTGAGTTTTCGTTCTGGTGTTTGCAATTGTTTTGGTATTTTGTGGTCTTTGAGATCCATTCAAAAGTACTTTTAAGAAGTCTATTTGAATAAAGATTATTTTGACTTTGACCTTAAGAATAAGGGAAAAGTATAAAAAATCTATCTGAAGACATTTTACAATCGAAAGTGCGATGAAGGTTTCTACAGACCTATGTAGTTTGCGGTTTGTGCGACAAAACTGTATGTATTGCGAATAGCTGTGGTTCGAATGTACTCTAGTGCGATACACTGAAGGTCGACAACATTTTTGTGCGACATAGAAGTTCAAGAATATTATGCCTATAAGGAAGATTTTTTGACAATAAGATTCAATGAAAAAATAAATAGAACATAGTTTCATTTTATTTTAATTTCTTACAACTACTCATTCCTTTGATTTGCCTTCTAGAATAATACTTCCCTACAAAATCCGTCATTACATACATATTTATCGTATCATAGCGGGGCTAAAATAATATATATTACTCTAGGGTAAAGGATGACCAACGTGCTACATTAAATATTCATCTTATAAAATCCTACTAAAATAAAAAGGTGAAAGTGGGAAGGTTTGGTTGTAAAGTGCCCTGTAAACGACCAAACTGCTTGTCAAACTTTACGTGCTTGACAAACTTTTTGATAGTGTGCAGCTACGCTTGATGCGCTTGTCAAACAGTCTACGTGTTTGACGTGTTTGATGAAAATTTAGATTGAAGTCGTGCTTGACAAACAAGTTTGTACGTGAACGGTGGTGTTTGTCAAGCAGGATGTCAGTCGTTGTGTTGCATCTTGTAAGACGGTAGGTACGCCAAATAAAAAAATACAATGGAAAGTGACGATATTATTACGGATACAGAATTTACCTTGCATTTCATATCTATTTATCGTGATATGCTGAATCTATGGAAAGTAAAATCTAAAGATTATATGGACAAGAACAAAAGAAGAAATAGCGTTTAAAAAAAATTACTAATTTACTGAAAATGTATCGCCGGAACATTACGGATGAAAAGAAGAAAAAGATTAATATTCTACGTACATGTTTTAAGCGCGAAAATAACAAAGTAAACCGAAACTTAACAAATTTGTTTGATCTTTGGCTTGATCGTATGTGCTGTTAATTGATGAAAACGTCAAGTTTGACAAGCAAATTAGTCAAGCAAGTTTGATCGTTTTCAGGGGGCTTTAGGATATTCTTACTTCTTCATGCAAAAACTACTGAACGGAATGAAAAAAAAAAATCAAAATCAAAATTATTTATTCAGGCTGTTACAAACACTTGTGAAAGTCAAGAGCTACGCCATCGGTTCGTAAATCTACGGCGGGAGACCTTGTACCGAGAAGAACTGGCAAGAAACTCGGCAAGGGCTGCTTATTTCTTTCCCTGTTTTATTTCATACAGTGCGTCAAGATTGAAAAATGACTTCATTAAATATGAAGTTCAGGGGCGTAGCTACCGCCGTATCTGCCGTATCAATTATATGGGGCCCCTGGGCGAGGGGGACCCCCAACGTGCGTAAGCAAAAATTAATAAAAACTTGTTAAACTTCTTTTTATATCAGAAATGACAAAAGTAAAAAAACGCGTAAGCGTGCGTTTGAAGGTTGGCAACACTCTCGGTTTTCGCGGACTGCGGGATTTCTCCGTTTAAGTCACAGAACAGTAAGTAATTTACTTCAATAGGGGAATCTCACGATAATCGACGTACATACGATTACAATTCTCACAGTTTATAGTAATAATAATAATCATTTAATCAAACATTTATTTTCCTTTTGTGATAAATCTGTACCCTCCATAAGAGCCCCTAAACAAATTCTTATACGGGGCCCCGCCAAGGCGCCAACAGTATTTACGTCAATCTACTCACATATCTACTCAAACAAGTTCACCGATAAATAATTTCAAATACATGAAATAAGCCATATTGAGGACGAAGCAGTTTTATCGTTTAATATTCATTTACAGTATAATATCCTTTACTGAGTAGACAATTTTTAATATGAGTTTTAAAATTAGGCAAGGGTAAGTTTAAAATTTCCTTGTCATGACGGCAAAACAAGTTTATCTTTGTTTCTAGTATTAAATTGTGTATATAACTATGTTTAATGTAAATTGTTAATATTTTTTCTAACATAAAGTATGCAATTATATTTAAACTAAGAGGCCAATGTTAAAATCCCAACTTCTTTGAATTTATCTCTAAGTGATCTTCTTGAACCCAACTGATAAATAGCCCTTACTGCTCTTTTTTGTAAAATAAATGCAGACTCTATATCTGCAGCCATTACCCACATCAGAATGCCATATGACATAGCGCTATGGAAATAACTAAAGTATACTGTCCTAGTAGTATCTACATCTGAGAGTTGCCTAATTTATCTTATTGCAAAGGCAGCTGAACTTAGTTTTCCTGCCAATAATGAAATGTGAGAATGCCATTGCAATTTAGAGTCCAGCATTACACCCAAGAAGATTGTTGAATCAACGAAGTCGAGCTTTTCATCATTAAGTTTAATTTCTGTTAGTTCAGCTTTTACATAAGGTAACATAAACTTTATACATTTGACTGGACTTTATGCATTTAACTGGAGATTATTTAGAGTAAACCTGGTTAGAAACAGAAAGGGGCCCAGAATAGATCCTTGGGGAACCCCCATTTTACTTGTGAACCATGATCTCGTACCGTTTACATCGATAGTTTAAGCTCTGAAACTGAGGTATGACAGTATTAGTTGTAGGGCAGAGTCTATGATACCATAGTAATTTAGCTTCGTTACCAGTGTTCGATGCTCAACGCCATCAAATGCCTTGGATAAGTCACAAAATACCCCAAGAGCATTCTGTGATGCCTCCCAAGCCTTGAATATATGCTTAAGAAGTGCTTCACCAGCACCAGTAGTAGAGCGACATTTTGTGAAACCATTTTATTTAGTATGCAGTAATTTATTTAAATTAAAGTAAGAAAATAAATTAATAATAATGCGGTAATATTGATATTGATACAGTGGTGGTATTAAATTCAAACAAATCTATAGTTGAATACAACAATGAAATTAATAAAACAATGGAAGAAATAATCAACTGGTTAAAAGATAATAAATGAGTTAACATTAAAAAAAACAAAATATATACAATTTCATAATCAAAGAAATAATAAACGGCTTAATCTTGAAGTACATCATGAAGGACAAACGATTGGGGAAAGTAAAGATATAAAATTTTTAGGATTAATACTGTAACCATGAATATTTTAGTGAATCATATTAAAATTAGTTGATTTGATTGTTGTCTTACCCTTCAGTTTAAAACTGAGTTGGAAATTGGTGTAGTATTATTTACGTTAGCAGAATTACTAACACAGTACCTAGTTAGACTTTGTAATATCATAACTCTATCAGAATTTAATGAAATTTGGTATAATATATGATATTCTGTTTGGATTAACAAATAGGCTTTCTATCTCACTTAATAGTTCCCTAGAGATTAAAGTCTCGCTTTTTCAAGAAAATAATAAAAAACTATGCAAAGGCGTGTTTAAAATTATTGAAATTAAGTATACATATTTTGAATAATTATCAAAATAAATGTACTGAGCTAACAGGGGCTCAATCTCTGACCACGTAATCAAATATTTTGAAGTTAGTTCTATTTTTTTATGAGTTTTTATGTTATGGTTTTTAATGGTATCTATATTTTTATATAACAGGTAACAATAAAAATATTCAATAAAGTGAAAATCTTAGGGAAGGAAATGTAGAATATTTTGCTCGACATAATTTTTTCAAGTAATCCATACTCATTATACCTATACTATAAAGAGGAAATATTTATTTGATTGTTTGTTTGTATTGATAAGCTCCGAAACCAAGAGAAATGGGA